AGTATTTCCAGGCTGAGAGTGCAAGCTGCCTTTGGACCTACCATTCTGGGATCTTGAGGGTTGTGGCCACATTCCCACAGCTCCACTATGGAGTACCCTAGTGGGGACTCTGAATGGGGCTCCAACCCCATCTTTCCCCATCTTTGGCACTGCCTTAGTAGAGGCTGTTTGTGGTGGATCCACCCCTGTAGCAGGCTTCCTCCTGGGCGCATAGGGTTCTTTACACATCTTCTGAAATCTAGTTAGAAACTGCCCAGCCTCCTTCACTCTTGCATTCTGCATATCTGCCAGAATTCAGTTATCCCAGCACCATTTACTGAATAACAGAGTTTTTTCCACGTTGTTTGTTTTTGTCAGCCTTATCAAATATCAAATGGTTTAGGTGTGCAGCTTTATTTCTGTTTTCTATTTTGTTCCATTTCTTCTGCATGTCTGCTCTTGTACCAATACAAAGTTGTTTTTGTTACCATGTCATTATGGTGTAACTTAAAGTTGGGTTTCATGATGCCTCTGGCATTGTTCTTTTTGCTTAGGATTACTTTGGCTATTCAGGGTCTTTTTTGGTTCCATATAAATTTTAGAATGGATTTTTTTTTTTCTGTGATGAATGATGCTGATAGTTTTATGTAAATAGTATTGAATCTGTAAATTGCTTTGGACAGTATGACAATTTTTACAATATTTATTTTTTTAATCCATGAGCATGAAATGTTTTCCCATTTATTTGTATCATTTATGATTTATGTCTGCTGTGTTTTGTAGTTCTCCTTGTAGATATCTTTCACCTTGTCTGTTAACTGTATTTCCAGGCATTTCATTTGTGTGTGCATGTGTGTGTGTGAATATTGTAAGTGGGATAGGATTGTGTTCTTGATTTCACTCTCAGCTTGGACATAGCTGGGTATAGAAACATTAGTGATTTTTGTAGATTAAGTGTGTATCCTGAGACTTTACCAAAGTTGTTTATCTATTTTAGAATTATTTTGGTCGAGTTTTTGGAATTTTCTAGGCATAGAATTATATCATCAGTTTGGACAGATACATCCACTTCTTTTCCCATTTGGATGTTGTATTAGTCTATTCGCACAATACAGAGAAACACCTGAGGCTGTGTAATTTATAAAGATTTTTAATAGTCTCATGGTTTTGCAGCCTGTACAGGAAGCATGGCTGGGGAGGCCTCAGGAACCCAACAATCATGACAGAAAGGGAAACATCATATCTTACATGGCTGGAGCAGGAAGAGAGAGGAGGGAGTTGACGCATACTTTGAAACCAGATCTCCTGAGGGCTCTATCATGGAAACAGCACAAAAGAGGGAGAAGCATCCCCATGATCTAATCATCTCTCACCAGGCCCCACCCCCAACACTGGGAATAACAATTTGACATGAAATTTGGGTGGGGACGCAAATACAAACCATATCAGCTCCGCTTTATTTTTCCTATTGCCTGGTTGCTCTGACTAGGATTTCCGGTAGTATGCTCAATAGGAGTGGTGAGAGAGGGCATCCTTGTCTTGTTTCAGTTCTCAAGAGATTTGAGCTTTTGATCACTCAGTATAATGTTGACTGTGGTTTTGTCATAGATGGCTGTTATAATTGTGAGGTGTTTTTGATGCCTAGTCTTTTGAGGTTTTTACTATGAGTGAGTGTTGGATCCTATCAAAACTTTTCTCAGCATCTACTGAGATAATCATATGGTTTATGCTTTTATTCTGCTTACATGGTGAATCGCAGTTACCGATTTGTTGTTAACGTTGAATGAACTTTGCCTTCCAGGGATAAAGTCTACTTCATCATAATGTATTACATTTTAAAATGCGTCTGGATTTTATTAGCTGGTATTTTGTTGAGAACTTTTAGGCCTGTGTTCATCAGGAATACTCATCTGATGTTTTCTTTTTAGATTAAATGTCTTCCTGATTTTGTATGCCACGAATACACAGTGAAGGATGGACAGTCTCCTAAATAAATGAGGTAAAAGCTGGATATTCATATGAAAAATACATAAAATTAGACCTTCTCTAACACCATATACACAAATCAACAAAAAATAAACATAACCTGAAACTATAAACTCATAGACAACTTGGAAAAAAAGTTCATGTCATTGATTCAGAAATGATTTATTTGAAGTTAATAGCAAAAGCAAGCCCAGGAATAAATTATGTGCAATTACATATCTGACAAGAAGTTCTATCAAAATGTATACATAATCCATACAACTCAATAGCAAACATCAAATGACCTCATAAAAAGGGCAAAAACCTGAATAGATTTTTTTTCAGAAGACACACGCATGAAAAACAGAGTATAAAAATGTTCTCAAGAATTCTCATAGAGGAATTCAAATCAAAAGCATAACGACATATCTCCTCACACCACTTAAAGTGGCTATTATCAACAAGACAACAGATAACAAATGTTGGCAAGAATGATCCACAGCCATAAAGAGAGCTTTGATTGGCCAAGAGACTGATTTCAGTAACTTTCTCCTGGGAAGAGACCACTGACCATGGACTTGTCCTGGCCAATTTCTGGAGGCTGTGCACTGTGTGTCTTTCTGCCCCTGCACAAAGCCCTTTTGATGTGCAGGGCCCAGTGGAATTCATGTAGTTCTTAAGTTCTCACCCCAACGCAAACCTGAAATGCATGCAACATGTGTGTTTGCTTATTACACATGGAGCTTCCTTCTATAGCCTGCTGAGTGTGTACACTTGGCCAATCCATTGCACGAATTCATTTCTCATCTTTCCCTCTCTTGAAATGCCTGCTCACAGTCTCTGTGGGAGGCTTTGCTTCCCAGCCTGTTAAGATGGCTGCCCTGCAGCTTCAACCCTTTCTCAGAAATAAAGTCTCCTTTCTGAATCTATAAACTGGGTGATTATTCGTTGAAAGCACAGGCTGGTGGGAAGAGTTACATGGCAATTCCATAAATACCTGGAGGACAAGTGTAGATCGGGTAGGGTAAGAAGTGCTGGGGCCACACACCCCACTCTTTGATGGAATTTCCCTCCAGAAACTTCTGCGTTCTCAAAATGAGAATCCACACACATTCCCTCGTGGCTCTGTCATGAGGAGAACTATTCTCTGATAAATATGCCCAGAACTTCCTCCAGACAGACCCCACAGGGGAAAATACTTTTCAAGATCTTTATTCTATGTCAGGGGAAGGGATTCTTTTCCATCCCAGACAACTTCATCTTAGCCTTCCTGAGTCATGAAAAGGGGTATAATTAAAACATCTGGGGTCAGATTCAAGAAAATAATCTGTGGATGTTGCAGCCAGGAGGGGGTGGTGGAGGATGGCAGCAAATCAGCTGTACCACTGGAGACTCCTTGTAAACAGTGCAGCCTAGAGAAAGCACAGCAAGAAATCATTGTAATTCAATTTCCAGAACATATACTGCTCCCCTACCCACCACATCACCTCACCACCAATATGATGAATCTGTATTAAAGAGAAAAGTGTGGAAAGGCAGAGACTCCGTCTAAGGACTGTAATTTAGGGAAACCAAAGGCAGTGGGAGAGAACAAGTCAAGGACAGTGAAGTGATTTAAAACCTCTTAGACCAACAGTTTCAGGACCAAGGTCACATCCCCTCCCTCAGTGACATTAGATTTACCTCTCATGGGGCATCCGCAGGGTGTGCAGGTGAGAACTGGCAAAGAGAACATGAAGGCACTTTCCAAGTCTCCATTAGTACCGAACTTGCTTTAGCTCTGTTTGGAAAAAACAAAACAACAACAAACATAACCAGGACTAGGGTCAGTGTTGGAAACACTTTTCATTGCCAAGACACTGGAAAGCAGGTCAAATTCGAGGCCCGTTACTGTGCAAATATGCCACTGTGAGTGTGTGTAAGGGGAGCTTTGAGATATAGGGACTGTGCGTAAAGTTATAATCGGTATGACCTTCAACCACAGAATCCTAAAAAAAAAAAAAGAAAAAGAAAGAGGATCCCCCAAAGTCTGCATCAGTTCCTGGACTGGCCATGTGTCTGGACCTTATCAGTGCATCTGGAGCTCCAGGGAAGGGGCTCCCTGGTGGCTTTAGTGATTCCTCGCTTGCTGTGCTGAGGTCTCCCTGTAGATTATGTTGGGTTTTCTAAGGCCTATTTTCTGTTGTAAGAGGTGGTGGGAGAAGCTATTGCTGTTACTGAAAGAGCATTCTGAGCCAGGGCACAGCCACTTCCTACTGGGCTGGAGATTCTGGGAGGAAAAAGTTCTGTGATAGGAGGAAAAAGTTCCCAGGCAGGAATTTTCCTGCAGGACAGGGGCTGAGCTGCAGGGGGCGCTCAGGGAGCACGCAGCACAGGATCCAACTGGAGCAGGTGCACAGGAGGCTGGGGCAGGGTTTTCTCTCAGGAAACGAGTGTTCCTTATTTCAAAGCAATAATGACCTAACATTTAAATAAGAATTTAGCAAGTACTGATGTGCCTTTAAATATTTTATTGTATATGCAGCCTATACCTAACCCAATAATTTAATGCACACCTGATTTAACAGGAGAAATGTCTAGGTCTTTCAATTGTATTTATAGTCAGGAATTGAGGGGTGGTTTTATTAATTCAATGGGTGTTACTATCGGGAGACACACTCATCCCAGAAGTTGTTTGTGCAGAGGGCAAGGCTCAGGAAAGTTCACCTTGACAGTGACCCGTATGAACAGGGAATCACATTGAGGACCACGTGCTGTGAGATTCTGGGTTTCTGTGATAGGAGTTCTGTCTTCATGGACTTCTGGGCATGTCAGAGAACAAATATCATTAACCAATGATCATGGCAGGGAGCTCTGTATCCCGCTGTGGCGTGGTCCACGTGTCACCTATCTTCTTCCTCAGGGTGGGGTGGCCTGAGTTATGAAATACCTGCCTCATGAATATGCAAATGCACTGGTGTCTACCGAAGTAAATACAGATCTGTCCTTGCCCAGAGAGCATCACACAACAACCACATCCCTCCCCTACAGACGCCCCCAGAGCACAGCACCTCACTATGGACTGGACCTGGAGGATCCTCCTCTTGGTGGCAGCAGCTACAGGTAAGAGAATCCTCAGTTCCAGGGCTGATGAGGGGACTGGGTCCAGTGAAGTGGTGTCTCATTCACTGCTCTGTCCTCTCCACAGGCGCCCACTCCGAGGTCCAGCTGGTGCAGTCTGGGGCTGAGGCTGTCTCTTATACACATCTAGATGTGTATAAGAGACAGGTGAAAATCTCCTGCAAGGCTTCTGGATACACCTTCACCGACTACTACCTGCACTGGGTGCGACAGGCCCCTGGAAAAGGGCTTTAGTGGATGGGACGCATTGATCCTGAAGATGGTGAAGCAGACTACGCACAGAAGTTCCAGGGCAGAGTCACCATCACCGCGGACACGTCTACAGACACAGCCTACATGGAGCTGAGCAGCCTGAGATCTGAGGACACGGCCGTGTATTACTGTGCGAGAGACACAGTGTGAAAACCACATCCTGAGAGTGTCAGAAACCCTGAGGGAGGAGGCAGCTGTGCTGGGGCTGAGAAGTTGATGGCATTTATGAGGTTTAAACATGTTTAGAAAATGGGTTAAGTAATTGAGTGAAACAAGCAATGGAAAGATGTATACACTGTCATTATATAGGAAATAGTATTTTCAACTGTCACCTTATAAGTAACACTCACAGAGTGGGAAAGGCAGCCATCAATCAAGCCGATGCAAACATTCCCATGGAGGCTTTGTGGGGACATACATTTTAAAACCGGATGGGTAAACCATTAGGAACAGGATTGCTTGATCACATGGTAAGACTAAATATAATTTCCAAGAAGTGGCCGAAATTTCTTCCAAAATATCTTTGCCCCTCCTTTTACATTGAACTTATTTTGAAGGAGTTGTAGGATCACAGCAAATTTGAGTAGGAAAAACAGAGTTCTCGTGTACTCCTGCCCCCACGTCGTGCTCGGGCTTCTCTGCTATCAACAGTGTGCACCAGAGTCACAAATCAGTCACAGCGATGAACCTCCACAGACACATTGGTGGTTTCCTTTTGTGGTGGTCCCCAGTGTAACAAGCCTCAACTATCTTGAAGCACCCCAGGTTCAGGTGGGTCACTGGGAATGATGCCAGGTCGAGAGAAAGTGGGTGGGGCTGTTCCTCTTTGCACTGTTTCCTCAAGGATCCATAAAATGTACATTGACTTGGTGTCCCTCTTTCTCCTGGTTTTATGTGTCCCTTCCCCAAGGGTAAGGTTTCTGGGTATTTACAGCAGGGGTCCCCAGTCCCCACGCTGTTGACCCATTAAGGTGTGTAGTGTGTTAGGAACCGGGCCACACAGCTGGAGATGAGTGTGGGTGGGCGAACATTGCTGCCCGAGCTCCGCCTTCTGTTGGATCAGCTGTGCATTAGATTCTCCTACGAGCCAAATTCTTTATATATGTGTGTATATATATGGATGTATATACTCTAAGTTCTAGGGTACATGGGCATAACGTACAGGTCTGTTACACAGGTATGCATGTGCTATGTTGGTTTGCTGCACCCATCGAATTCTATTATGAACTGTGCATGAGAGGGATCTAGGCTGAGCGCTCCCTATGAGAATCTAATGCCTGATGATTGCAGGTGGAACAGGTTTACCCCAAAACCACCGGCCGCCGTCATCCATGGAAAAATTCTCTTCCACCAAAGTGTTCCCTGGTGCCAAAAAGGTTGGGGACACTGGTGTAGAGGCAGGTCTGTGCCTCGGAAAGCCAGCAGCTTCTGGTGAATCCCATAATTAATGTCCTTTAATGAGAAGTGGAGACTTGGGTCACGAGGGCCTTCGTGAATAAAGCCCTACAGTTGGATTCAAAACATTATAAGCTCTTGGGGGGTGTTTCTGGATTAAAGCCCTTTGTGCAGAAAATGCAGAAACATCTGTAGGGTCCATGCAGGAAAAAGCTTCCTTTACAAAGTGGTTGGGCACCTGGAAGGAGCTCTCAGGGTTGGGCACTGTATCCGTTGCTGGCTGCACTTTAGCCAGAGGCCTGAGCCTGATTGGTCTTGCAGCGGGAGAGCCTCCCTGGGGTCACAGGTCACAAAAACGCCTGTCATCCTCCAGCTGAGCAAGCCCATCGCGCGCTTGTCAGTGTCAACTCCGTGACAGGTGCACCCTGGAAGATTAAAAGATGCACATAAACCTCCTCCCACCAAGTATCCACCGCCACACACTCAACTGAAACCTGTGCTCCAGAAAGGGACAGAGGCCTGCAGGGATAAACAGAACGGAAGTATTTCCTTACCTGGGAAAGACACTGCCAAATACCACATGTTTCAGGAAGGTTAACTCATAATTGTTCAGGATGTGACTGGAGGACAGTGGTGGGTGAGATGACGGGACAGCCTCAGGGCTGCACATGAGGAGGGCTCCCTCCCCACGCAAGCTTTTCCTCCAGGAGCTGCACCAGGAACTCAGAGGATCAGGAAGGATTCTGAGAACATTCTTCTGTGGTGCTGCCTAGAGGAGGAAAATAAATTATAAAAAGTAAATCAATTCCAAACAAAGTATGACATTTCTTATTAGAAATTATTGCTGAAAGCCGTGAGAATCCTGACAGAAGCCACCATTCTCTGTGAACAAACATTTAAGCCCTCCTTCCATGGGGACGTCGACGAGGTTGGATCGGTTCTTTGACGGATAGTATCCCCCAAACTCCTCTCCACTCCCTGCGTATCCCCGGGTCTCTCAGTGACAAGTGACTACGGGAGCTGGGTCTGCCAGGCTCCAGGGAGGGGCTGGAGTGGGTCTCAGGTATTAGTAATCCTACTGGTAGTAACAGATGCTACCCAGACTCTGTCAACGGCTGATTCACCATCTCCAGAGACAGTGCCAGGAACACGCTGTATCTGCAAATGAACAGCCTGAGAGCCAAGGACACAGCCATGTGAGACACAGTGAGGGGAGGTCAGTGTGAGCCCGGACACAAACCTCCCTGCAGGAACGCTCAGGGGAAATCAGCTGCGGGGGGCGCTCGGGACCCACTGATCGGAGTCAACCCCAGAGGCAGGTGCAGATGGAGGCTGATTTCCTGTCAGGATATGGGACTTCATCTTCTTCTGACAGTTTCTCCAGTAAACCTCTCTAAGTTTATAATTCTGTGCTTCCTAATGTCATCTCTACATAGTTTTCGAAGTTCGTTTCCGTATGAGGACATAATCTCCCATGCATCAAATGCAGACTGAGCTTACAAAGATGAGAAGTTCTCAACCATGGTCACCAGGATCAGAGTCCTGAGGAAGCTCAGCGGTGCCTGGTGAGTCTTCTCCAATCAGACGCGGGACAGAAACCTCAGGGAGATTCCAGGACTGGAACAGTCTTTAGGGATTCTGATCGCAGCCAATAGAGAGGCTGGGCCAGTGTCAGTGTCATGTGGAAGCTCACAGGGTTCGCATCTGACCCTTCTCCTGACACTAAATCCAATCAGCATCAGCACTGACCTGGTGCTCCTTCGCTCCCTATCCATGTTCTTTCTTTGTAGTGTTTGCTCTTCCTTTTTTACATGCTTTTCCTTCTTCCTGAAAAAGAAATGGTCGCTTTGGTCTACATTCCCGGGCTCAAGGCATTTTCTTGGAGCTCAGGTGGGGCTCAGGCTGTGGCTCCTGCAGCCACGTGGGAGAGTCTGCTGGGACTTCCTTCCCTCCCCATCTGCTCAGGACCCTCCACTGTGTTGTGTGTAGACTCATCCGGGAATGCAGTTGGCCATTAATAGTGAAGGGGGTAAACTTATTTGATCCAAATGGGATGTGGATGTTGAATTAACACTGCACACTGTCAGAGTTATCTGCTTCAGAAGTGTTAGAAAGAGCCTGTGAAATTTATCAGAATCAAGATGGAGCCACTTGTGTTAAAACCCTAGTAAATCTGGCCGGGCGCGGTGGCTGATGCCTGTAATCCCAGCACTTTGGGAGGCCGAGGGGGGCGGATCAC